TTTTTTTTTTTCAAAAAGAGGATCAAGAGTGTTCCCCACTTACCCCCGCATGACTCCCCTGCATGACTGACACTTGTCAAATAGTTTGGATGATTGTTTTCGGTTGATACGATATGCAGCCTCACCCCAAAACCCAAAAATGAGAAGGAACAAAGGAAACAATTTGAAGGGTGTCAATAAGATGTTGGTGTTTTCTTTCAGCGACACTATACTGAGCGTGGGCATCAGGACATCAGAGCTGAGAGCAAGAGTATCCTTAGAGGTCAAAACTGACGAAAAGTGTCAGCCACCACCAGTGTTAATAATGGTGGATGGCGGAAAGCCAAAAAACTGCCATATATATATGGCTAATGGCGTGGCGGAAAATGGCAGAAGGCAGGCGGACTCATAAAATATTATATATATATTTATACCCTCTAATACACACACACACATGTATAAAACCATAATTAAGCTTAAATCATGTCAATTAATACATAAAGATGTCAATTGATACATAAAACTAACACTTGTTACATAAGAGCGAGTTGGAAATCAAAGCAAAAGAAATAAATAAAGAGTTTATTTATAAATGACAGCTAGAAAGATTTTTTTTTAATAGAAGAAAGAGCTGAAAATCTAAAACAAATAAGTAGAAAACTGAAAAGGTAAAGATCAGTAAATGAATTCTTTTAATAGAAGAAAGAGCTAAAAAGCTAAAACAAAATAAGTAGAAAACTGGAAAGGTAAAGATTAGTACTGACTTTTTTGAATTGATGTAAAGAAGGAATATTAAAACAAACAATTAAAATTAATAAATATAAGGACAGCTAAAAGTTGTGAAGTTGAAACTTGAATCTAGAATTTAAAAGAGGGACATAAAAGAAGAGGGACAGAAAAGTAAGGGAAAAACAAACAGGGACATCATCAACATCAACATACCCAGTATATTCCCAAACAGGTTGGGGTCTGGGGGTCAGTTGTACGCAGACCTTACCCTTGTAATTATACAAGGAGGCTGTTTCCATAGCGACCCAAGGTGTGAAAAACAAACAGGGAAAAAAAAAAATAGAAAAGGCAGGGTTAGGGCTTTCTTATTTATGTTTATCAACAAACCCAAATGCAGATCAGATCTGATCTTCGGGGACTTGTTTGGTTATGAAGTTGGAAACATGAGGAGAACAGTTGGTTTGGCAGGATTGCATTCATTTTGGATTGTTGCGTATAGAATTGTCACTGGAAGAAAGTAGTTGTGCCTGATTTATTATTACCTGCACGGACATTGTATTTGGTCTGATAGAACCTGTAATGGCTGAAAATTGGTCCTGCTCGGCCGACCACATATTTGGTGGTTCGTGGTTTTTGTAAAAAATAAAGTATATGATTAGAAAGATGAATGAGGGCAATTTTGTTTTTCCCAGCTGCTAGTATTTCTTCTTGTTGGGTAAGCACTGGTTTACTGATCTTACATGAAACTGATCTCTAACCTTCTATTGCAGGTCTAGTAAATCTAATGCTGACAACTCTATTAAGCGTCCCCGTCTCAAGATAGTTGTATCGCTTCTATGTAATTGTGTGATAAGATTCGACAAAGTTATCTTGTGATCTTGCTATTAAATTAATGTAGTCGGTGTTGACAGTTGATACTCCAAGTGCAGATTGATGTGATGGTAGATGCTAACTGTGTTTTGTAAAGGCAGCTCTTGTAAGTTCTCTTTAGCACTGGTCTTGACTGTCCACACAACTGTGTGCTATCTCACATTTTCTGTAATTAGTTAATGACTGTAAAGGCCTTGTTTGTAAATTGTGCAGACTTTTTTCACCCCCAAAATTTTATGTTATTTATTTATATATCTGTCTATATTGATCACCTATTTTGGAAGTAATTACGACAGTTTTAAAGCTATTGTGGTTGAGGGAGGGAAAATTGTTTCTGTTTGTGCTTTAATGAAATAATCAAGTGGTTATATAAAATTAACCTAATGATATCAATGTTCTTCATCCATCATGTTCTTGTCCACGTTGATTTTCCGTATAATTTTCCGTCGCTGGACAGCCTAAAAGGAACATACGACTGTTCCCTAAACATAATGAAGTGGCACTTTTGGTACGCTTTGTTAGACCTGGACCGATCAGATTCTTATCATATTTTTTAGGTATCGAACTGGAACTGGAATCAAACCAAAAAATCGGTTCGGTTAACATGTAAATATTTACAGGAACCGAACCGGGTTATAACGATTCGTTTTTCCGGTCAATAATCGACAATAATCAGGTTTGAGTTGAGAATCGGTTAAAAAATTGCAATTGACAGACTAAAAGTATCATGAAAAATTAAGAATCAAAATGCAAAATGAGGAACCGAATATTACATATCAAGAACCTGAACCGATTCGTACATATATATAAGCATATAAAAAAAATGCATATTTCACATATATAGTCGGTTCTTCAGTTAATACATATAACACATACACTTGGAAAAGAACCAGGAACCAGAATCGAAACGTGCAAAAAATAATCGAAACTGATAAAAATGTTGTTTTTTAACAGGACCGAACATGTTATTTTTGGTTTGGTCCAATTCGGTTTTCCAGTTCTCGGGTATAAAATCTTACCCCTACGCTTTGTTGCACCAGAATTTTCATTGGAGACAACATATCAGGTGATATCACTTGTATGTGACCAGTTAAAATTATTTAAGCATGATAAAATATTATGACATTAGTTATTTGCCTTAGGGTCTAAGAAACAAATTAGGACATTTGAAAATTGCTTACGATGAAACGATGCCTATTAAGTTTTCGCTTCTTTCAGTTTTCGTTCAAGTCTAAAGTACACCCAAGTGAGATAATGTTTTTCAAAATATCAATTTTTACTAGGGATTTTTTCTTATTGCAACTTTATTGTTTTCAAAGTTTTTTTTTTTTCTTTTTTTTGGCCACAAATACTAGGGTAGAAAATCATTATTTCCCAATCCAACCAATATTATAGGTAATTGTCGGATGTGTCAATTTGCCACGAACCAAGTTGAACTAGATCAATTCTCAAAAGTCCGCCTTCCTCGAGCTCTGGTAACCTGCAATAAACTAGAAAGAGGTCCTGACGTAGACATTCTGACGCTCAAGTCATAACTGATTCGAGAAAATAATCTTGAGATATATGAACTTTAATGTGTATATCATAATATAAAATCTAGTTACCTTATATACGAAGATGCTCTGATACCCAAGTGTAGCGCCCCGTTCGAATATTAGATTTTTTATGAGTTTATTTTAATTAATGGTATTTTATTTTAATATTTATATACATCTTGATTATGTGATTATATATTTTTATTATTATACGGATACTATAATTTTATATATAGCTCAGTCGATTTTATTTTATCAATCGTCGTTTGAATTTTCGGTTTAATCGCGTAAGCCGAATTGTTGTTCGTTTGAATTCGTTTTAGAACCGTTGCGACCCGAACATCAAAACGAATCAACAAGACCTTAAGACTATTACATTACCATCTCTTTAATAGTATTTTTATCCATAAAAACCGAATTAGAAGAGGAAAAAAATTGGTTGTAGTCAAATTCTTCGGTTTTCAATTATTGTCGGATTTTAAGTCCGATTTCGGTTCCGTAAAATTTATTTTCTTCTCAATCCTTTTAGTAGGCATCAAAACCAAAGTTAATACGTTTTGTTCAACCATTTTAAGTACCAAAACTGAATCCATACTCATGCATGAGTTAGAGAACCATATTACTCTCTTTTGGCATCATGTGTTGGTAAAATATTAGTTTTAGGTTTAGATGGGATTAGGGGTGGGCAAAAAAACCGAATTTCCCGGTCCCGAACCGGATCGAAATGGTCCCGTTCCGAAAAATAGGGTTCCAAATCGGTTTTTAAAATTTTCGTACCGTTCCCGGTACCGAACCGGTTGAAACAATGTCGGTATCGGTTTTTATAAAAATTTTCCCGAACCGTCCCGTTTGTCCCGTTTTATTTTTTTGTATAAAAATATTATATATATATTATATTTATATTAGTAATATAGTGAATAATTATTAAACTTCATTAACTAATTTACTTCCCTGTTCTGTTGCTTCTGCATGCCTTACGGCTTAATAGACTTGGGCCCAATTCTACTTGGCCCAAAAAAATTAAATAACAATTGAATTTGGCCCAAGTAGCTTATAAGACTTAAGAGACGAGTGAAGTGAAGTGAACTGTGTCTGTGCACCACTTCAGGCTTCGCTTTTCACTTTTCAGTTTTAATGTAAGTTGATCTTGTGTGTTAATGGAATAAATATATGTTGAGATTTTTTTTTTTTTTTGATCCGTTT